GCGCCGCAGGAGCGCATCCCGTGCTGCTCCCCAGCCGCCTGAGAAGAACGCTGCGGGTGTTAGGCGGCATTGCCGCTTTTCACTGAAGAGCAGTATTTGGAGCTGATTTGAGATTGCAGTGAGATATACCTGAGGTTGGGTCCAGTGTACAGTGTGTTTTAGCTCAGAGTTTTAGAGGCTTAAAATCCAAAACCAGGTGGTTCTTTTGGCCTCCTGCGAGGCCCGCATCCTGGGTGTCATCCCCACAGAAGTGCGTGAAAGACAGCTCCAGCGCAGGGCTGGTATTTGACCTGATTTTATACAGACCCGTCTTCTCGAAGCTACCTTGCTCCGCTGGGCCAGCGCTGCGTTTTTCTAAGGGCTGTGGTTTACTCAGCACCTTGCTTGAAGGCTTGGAACTCAGTGCTGCCATGCTGGGGATCAGACTTCCAGCTCACCAGACCCGCAGAGGCAAGCCACAGCCAGACCAGAACAGATGTCTCCATCACGCCTGTCATCAAAACTTAAAATAATTCTACTTCCACTTTATAGGAATTCTTACAAGGCATCTGAGGACTACTTTGTGTATAACAAAGATTTAGTAATCCAGCAGAGCACGTAGGTATACATAGACAATCTCCTGCACACACGTTATCCCTTTCACACCTGGAAGCGTCAAAACGACCATAAGCCATTAATTCCCAAAGACAGAACTACTGTATGACCTAGTAAAGCCTAGGAGATGAATTTTTTTTTTTAATGTATTTGGTTGTTACACTGTCTATGAAGCTTGGACTCATGGTGATCTTCCTGCTTTCAGCCTCCCCAGAACTGGGATTACAGGCATGCACCACCATGCCTGGACTCTGGCCAGCTCAGCCTGCAGGGCTGGCGTGGCTTGTGGTACCAGGGATTGAACCCAAGTCCCTGCACTTGCCTAACCTTGCCTAAGCAGGCACTTTAGTTAGCTGAGCTATTTTGCTTGCTCTAGGAGATGACTTTTTTTTTGGTGGTGTGCGGGATTGAACTCAGGACCTTGCGCTTGCCAGACAAGTGCTTATCCTACTGAGCTATCTCCCCTGCCTTGAATTTGTTTTTTAATTTTTTTTAAAGGCAGTATATTGTTGGATCATGTTTCTTGGTCCATTTTGCAAGTCTGTCCCTTTTGATGAGTGAATTCAGACAATTTATATTGATGTTTATAACATACTTATCAATTTATCCTTATCACGTGATTTTCTTCTTGTCCTTTCTCTTTTTTCCCCAGTTTAATTGCTTGCTTTTCCTGGTAGATTTATTCTGTTGGAGTTGTAGTTGTTATCTTTTTTCTAGAATGTCCTTCAGGCTGGGTGTGGTGGCACATGCCTGTAATCCCAGCACTTGGGAGGCTGAGGCAGAAGGATCATTGGAAGTTTGAGACCAGCCTGGACTACAGAGTGAGCTTGAGGCTACCCTGAACTGCATAATGAAGCCCTGTCTCAAAAAGACAAAAACAAACACAGTATGCTAAAGATTGTAAATTTTATTTGTACTGATAGTGTTTGGACAGGATATTCTGTCTGCATCTTGTACTATGGATAACCGCTAAGAAGGTAACAATGTACAAAGTATTAATTATTGAAGTTATCATGTTAATCAGTTTTGAAACTGTCTCATTGATATTTGTTTCTCAATAAAATAAAATTTAAAAAGAGTAAATTTACCTCTTGTCCCTGTATCTTGGTTTTTTCCTTTTGAAGTTAGGTTTACTGAGGTGTAACTACAGGTAGCAAAAGCTATCCTTTTGTGTTCAAGGTATTCCTTACTTGGCTAGCATGCATAGGGCATGAGTCCTTGCACTGAGGAAAGACTCTACCATTGTGAGCTTGAACAGCCACGTGGTGACACCACAATCAAAATAGGAAACATTTCCATGTTGCTTGAAAGTTCCCTCATCCTCTTCTAGGTTGAGCTTCCTTTGTCCCTCTACTCCTGCTGGAAACCACAAAGCTGAAGTCCATCTGTTACTTTTTTTCAGATTTTTTTTTTTTTTTTTCTGATGATGGGAATGGAACCCAAGGTCTCACTCATGCTAGACAAGTGCTCTAATACCCTGGCTCCTCATAGTCCTGGCTGTTATTTATTTATTTGTCTTTTATCAGATACATGTTTTTCAAACTTTTATTTGTCATTTTGTGGCTCTTTTCCCTATTCTTTACAGTGTCTTTTAAGAAATAGAAAATTTTCCAGGTGCTATGGTGCACACTTGTAATCTTAGCTACTTAGGTGACTGAGGGAGGAGGAAGGCAAGTTGGAGACCAGCCCAGGGCAAATGAGTGAGACCACCTAGAAATAGGACAAATAGTAGATGAATGATATATGGACCTTCAATAATATAAAGGAAATACTATAAATCAAATTGCTAGATGTCAGAACCACAAAGTTTGTGTTCTCTGAAATCAAGGATTGAATTCAAAGAATGGGAAGAATTTATTGAAAGAAAAATAGCTTCTGTGTAAGAGAACCCCAAATGGGCCCAGAGAGTGGGTTGCCCACCAACCCCACTGTTTTAGTTTGTCCTGGATGTTCCTCCAAAGCCCCATGCAGTTGTGGGAGGTGGGCTTTTTGGAGGTGGCTGAATCTAGAGTTTGTGACTGGCCCATTGGCTAGTGCTAGGATTAGGGGTGTGAGCGCTACCCCCACCCCAGGGTGGGCACCTGCGTTCAACATAATGGAGGAAAGGAGGCTTGCTTCTTCCTTGTTGCTTATGCTGTCTTCTGCCACCATGAACTCTTGCCCCTCTGACATGTGCTACCCTGCTTTGGAGCCTGCTGATTATAGACTGAAACCTCCGCAAACAGATAATGCTTTCCTCTCTAACTTTGGGTGTTGGGTATTTTGTTTCTGTAACAAGAGTAAAGTAAAATACTGCTTCTCAAGGGTGTTTTATTGGGATAAAGCCATGAAATGAGGTGGGTTCAGGTGGGATAAAGCTATAGTCAACTAGGCAGGGGAGATAGCTCGATGGCATAAGCGCCTGCCTGGCAAGCGCAAAGTCCCAAATTTGATTCCCAGTACTGCATGTCATGCCAGCCCCCCCATAAGATTACAAGTATAGTCACGTAATTTGTTTTGGTCTTTTTGATACAGGGTCTCACTATGCAGGTCAGGCTGGTGTTGAGCTCACTTTGTAGCCCAGGAGCATCTGGAACTCAAAACGGTCTCCTGCCTCAGCCTCCCGAGTTTTGGGATTATAGGGGTGTACCACCACTCCCAGCATTTACGGAATATTGATCCACTGGAGAAATCCCAAAGTGGGTGTGAGGTGAGACAAAACTATGGTGAACCAATAAGATTACAACACGTATAGTCGCTTAGGTAACATTGATTAAATGGGGATCACACAGGAAAGCAAGTCACAGCAAATGTGCAATGCAGGAACAAGGATTTGTCGGGAAGGAATGGGCTACGGAAATTTTGGTCCCCACTCAAGGTATTGGTGGCTGTTTAGAATATCAGTCACAGGGGCCGATGAGGCGAGCTTAGACAGGCCTGTGACAGTTCGATCCCCTTGATCCCCCACACTACATGCTGCACTAGCCCCAACCTCAAGGTGGGCTGAGCCAGCCAAAAAAAAAAAAAAATACTGTTCGGGCCGACCAGATAGCTCAGCAAACTAAGGCTCCGGCTTAGGCAGAG